GGCAGATCGCCCCCACCGTCCTGGTCAGGGACCCCAGCTCTAGGGTTCAGCTCATCGTGTCCTAGCGGTCCCAGCCCCAGTGGCGAGTAGCCAGCTCTCCCCGCAGATGAAGGCCCCGGCCCTCTCCACCTGCCCCCAGCCCTGCACGCCCGGAGACGCTGGTGGACACAGCCCGGGCAGGGAGACTGGCACAGAGGGACATCCTGGCATGCGGGCCAGGTGCAGCCCTGGCCTGGCTTCCCGCCAGAGCCACTACCGAGACAGGAGCCAAGGCAGCTCGAGGCAGAGCCACAGGCAGCCAGCCTTCCCCTGGGCCAGTCTTCTCCGGCCTGGCATGACTCACCTGGCTGGCAGCACTTCGCCATTACGCGCTGCCGGTGCTGAGCCGCGGCTGTGACCTGCTGCCCCCGCTTGGTTCGGGTTTATGGGGAGGGAGAGAAAGGATAGCAGGACACGTGGGGGGCACACGAGGCGCCAGCGGTCTCTCTACTCAGCAGGCTTTGTCCCACCCACCACTCAGAGCCCCACCCAAAGGTCACAAGTGGCACCACCAGGTAAGGGCACCTAGGGAGCGTCCCTGGTGCCACATGGCTTGCCGCATGGCTCTGGGACCCAGCTCCCAACAGCTGCTTCCCGGCTGGCGCAAATGACGGTCACCATAGCCAAGACCAAGCCCAGGGAAGGGAACAGTACCACCTACCGATATCCATATGGGCGAGGACAGGGACAGGGGCGAGGGCAGGAAGACGTGAGAACCCTCAGGCCAAAGGCTGGGCCCAGCACACACACACAAACACACACACACACACACACACACACACACACACACGCCCCGTCAGGGCTCCTAGCTTTTGGAGAAACCCCAAGGTGCATCAGAGAACTGCAGCAGCTTGTGGGGTTGGAGTTTCCGAGAGGCAATAGTTAGTACTGAGAGGGCCCCAGTGCGGACGGCTGGATCTCGCTTGGACGGTTGGATCTTGCTTGCCCCTGCTCTCTGCCACGCTTCAACGGTTAGAAACTGATTCTAAGTAGTTGGGGAGCGCTCATGCAAGCCAAGGTGAAAAGGAACATGCTGAGAACAAAATCTCCCCGGGATCCAGGTGTGGTGGAGGCTACCTCTCTTCCCAGCGCTCTGGGCAGCTGAGGCAGGATTGCAAGCTGAAGCCCCCAGCCTGGGCAACTTAGCAGCTCAGCAAAACTCTGTCTCAAAATAAGAATTGAAAGAAGGGCTGAGGGCTGGGGATTTAGCTCAGTGGCATAGTGCCTGCCTGGCAAGCACAAGGTTGTGAGTTCGATTCCTGGTACCGGAAAAAAAAAGCAAAGCCTGGGCTACATAGTGAGTTCAGGCCTGCCTGAAATACATAGAAAAAACTTGTCAAAAAAAAAAAAAAAAAAAAGAAAGAAGGGCTGAGGTTGTAGCTCAGTACAAAGGCCCTGGGTTCAGTCTACTGTACTGTGCCTTAAAAAGAAAGAAAGAAAGTCCCAAAGAATCAGGAGGCCCCGTTCATTCTTCCTGTTCTACTCAGCCTCCGCTGCCTCCTTACCCCCCCATCACATCCCCCTGCCTCCAGCCCCTGTCCCTGAAAGGCACTTCAGAAACCTAGCCCAACCTCCCTGCCCCCATCACATTAGAAAGTGGGAGGACAGGTGTGGACAGGTGTGCAGTGCATGCCTGTAATCCCAGCACTCGGGAGGCTGAGGCAGGAGGATCGCTGCAAGTCCGAGGCCAGCCTGGGCTACATAGTGAGTTCAAGGCCAGCCTGGACTGCATAGTGAGACCCTGTCTCAAAAAAAAGAAAGAGGGGGTTTTGTGAAGTGTTATTCCAGGAGGAGGTGAAGTCTCCCCCTGCTGTCCAGCCTGTAAGCGTCTGAGCACCAGGCTGTGGGGAATGTGGCCATAACTGAGATGCACCCCTCGGGGCAGCTTGCACCCCAGTTGCCCTTGGTCTAACGGGGCCGCACTGGGCCCTCTGGGCGTCCCCTGCCCCGGAGTACAGGATCCGTTCCCCACGCTGCTCCCGGCACTTAAGCGTGTGTGTGGCTGGCCGTGGGGGCCAGGGTGGGAGAAGGAGGAGCGGCAGTGCCGTGCTCCTCGTGGTAGACCCTGAAGTCTGCGGAGGCCCTAAGTGCTGAGAGATCCTCTTGCTTTCTAGATTCCGACTTGGGAGGTGGAAGTGAGAGCAGCGTTTATCCCAGCCGCACCGTCTAGCAGGGGGCCGGCACCGCGCTCTGCAGAGACCTCCCCGCGCGGCAGCCCCGTCTCGTCCCCACATGACCCCCCCCCCCGCCTCCTCTTTACTGAGACCAAAACCAGTGTGTTTGCACTCTGCCCGCCTTGGAGCCGGGCTTGGCCTCCACGTGTAACATGGGGGCCGGGCTAGTCCCCGACAGCACAGGCCGGGTTGTCTGGGGCCGTCGAGCAGGCTGCAGGCTGCCTGCTCCTGCCCGTCTGGCAGCCCGGAAGGGCCCAGCAGCCTGGGGTCCCACCGCGGAGGGCACCAGTTCAGGCCTCAGTGCACCCTGAGTGGAAGGGGGCTGTGCCTTCAATAAACTTTGTTCTCAAAATAAGCGTTTTGTGCTTATTTCTCTCCTTGGACAAAGGCGGAGGGTCTCAGGCTTGCGGCAGGAGAAAGCACACCTCACAGCCCGCCTCACCTCCACTCCTACCGCTGCCCTCAGCATAGGGGGTACGCCCTGGGCCCCGAGGGCTGGGGCAGGTGGCACTCACTCGGGACCTGGTGCGTGTGTGTGGGCACTGCGCTTCTTTCCTAATTGCGTCTTAGGGTCCAAAGACTAAGTCAGGACTCTGGGGTGAAAAAAGGACAGAAGGACAAGTAAGAAAGTTGTGTCATTGTGGGGGGCGGGGGAGTGAAACTATTACAAGGCAGAGGGCACAGACTACCAAACACAGCATGCCGAATGGAAGGAGCCGCACGCCAAAAGCCACGTAGTCTCTTATTCCATCTATATTCAAGTTCTGGAAAATGCGAAGCACAGAGGCAGAAAGCAGACCGGGGTCTCTGGGACCTGGGAAGGGAGCGGACCTGGGGAGCAGGGGGATGGGCAGGGACTCGCAGGTGACGAAGGCGCTGTAAGGCCTGCTCTAGTGATGCACAACCGGACGGATCTGCTCAGGCTCACAGGTACAGTGCGTGGGCTCGGGGTATAACCGTGTGCCTCCATAAATTGCCTGAAAAGCGGAAGAAGAGATTAAAAACACGGGGTGGAGTAAGAAGGAAGAGAGGTGCCTCGGGCCTCCGAGGATAAGCTGCTGCTAGGGGCAAAGCGGGTGACGTGCCAAGGGGATTCGGGAGGGCCAGACTGAGCGACCTCACGCACCCTGCCCCCGCCTCTCACGTGCTCCAGATAAGCAAAGTGATGCAGCTACGCAGAGTAGGTTCAGCCAGGCAGCCGAGGCCCGAGATCAGAGACAAAGTGAACAGACAACCTTCCTGTTGGTAGAGCCTAGAGGAGCCCCTGAAGTTGAGAATATCTCCATGACCTGCATAAAATTCCTGACACCTCAATTCCCTAGCCCTGTGGGAAAGCAAGCCTTTTTTTTTTTTTTTTAACAATTTTAAGATCGGGTGAAGATGTGTTCAGAAGCCACTACTGAGAAACATGTGAGAAGGGACGCTTCATGTTTTAAAATAAGTTTTATATCC